TGTGTTTAGATTTCTACTAAAGGAAGCAAAAAACACACTGATATAAGCCCACCCCACCCAAGGTTCTATGAAATGCAGAGCTGCAGGTGGCTGGGGTTTAGGACATCGCCTGCTAGCTCCGAGTGTGGGAGGTCAGGTGACAGAGGGAACAAGCCCTCCCAGAATATACACACCAGAATGCCTGACCTCATGGGCTGCAGACTGTTCTTCCAACCTTGCGGCTGCTTTTGTCCTGGGGCAGCCATAGGGTGGGACTGGGGGTCGCGAGGGGGGACTGGGTACTGGCATCAGGCAGGGTGCCAACTACCCTGTGAGTTCGTGTGCTGGGAAAGTGGCTGCAGCTGGCTGGCCTGTGGGAAACCAGGAAACAAACTGTGGGTGAGATGGAGAGAGAGGCTGGGATTACTGTGTGGGTGGATATGAAAGAGAAAGAGATAGGGAAAAGGAAAAAGGAGAGAAAGTGGTTCAATCTGTACGTAGGTGTGTGACAGTGGATGTGCAAGAGTGGATATGCCTGTAGGAGAGAATGTGTGCATGCAAGAGAGGTTTCAAACGGAGGTGCGTGAGCAAACGAAAATGGAAACAAGAACATGCTTTTGGAAACAAGAACATGCTTTTAACCTGTTTATCTGTGGGAGGAGATGTGTTTCCATGAAAGTGTGCACGTCCACTTGTATGTTTTCAGGTGAGAGGGTAGCTATGTATCCAAGTGTGAGGCATGTGTCCACATGTGAAAGGTAGATGTGCATGGGTGAAAAAGGGCCTGGGGGAGGACGGGGGGTTGTGCTATTGTATTCCCCATGCATGGATATGTGAGTGTACATGTGTACACATGTGAGTGTTTGCATAAGAACATGGCATGTATATACCATGTGTGTACACATGAGTGTTTATGTGTATGTGAAAGTGTGTATATTCATCAGTGTACATGTGAGGCCTATGTGAACCTGTGAGCAATGCTCCTACACCATCACCCTCCTATTAAGATCAGTGTGGTGTGGGGGAGCAGGAGGTGGATTGGGCAGCTTCCTGCCCAGCCTCCTGCTCTGTCACCCTCACCCCACAGGCCTGAGGAGCAGGGATTTGTCCTTGACCCAATGACCACAGTCAACTCTCATGGGCACGTGTTCCACTGCCTCAACAAGATAGACATGGCCAGGGGTAGGCTCATCTGGCAACCCAGATCCATGCTCCATCCCCAGCCCAGAGGCTTGAAACAGAGTCTACTAGAGTTGGAAAGGCCTCCAGATCCTCCCACCCCCAATAACAAATGGCCTGGAGAGGAGGAAAAGTAGCTCCCCCAAAGCCACTCAGTGGAGGAGAGACTGGGTCAGCAGTGGGTCCCAGGTATCCTCAAGTGCATTTTAGGGGCAAGGAATGAGGCTGGCAGAATCCTGCACCATCCCACAGAGTCTGAACAACCTTTTTCCAGCCCCAGGTGGGTGGAAGAACACAGCCTGCTGCCTTGTCTCCATGGAAACAAGGCAGCACAGAGGGTGGTTAAGAGCATGGGCTCAGACGGCCCAGGGATCAAATCCCCACTCTCCACCTACAAGCCAGAACACTCTGACAAGTCACGTAAACTCCATATGCCTTAGTTTCCTCATCTGTAAAGCAGAGGTAAGGAAAGCATGAACTTCACGGTTCATATGATCCTTCATAGGTTCATAGAGGATGAAACGAAGTAATCCATACAAAACATTTAGCACAGTGCCTGGCAGCTGAACAGTGAGGTAGAAAAACTTGCTGTCTCTGGGCTTCAGCGTGTCAATCTGCACAATAATCTCAAGGAGCGCTACCAGTTATGGCCAGCTGAGACTTTGTGGAAAGAGGATGGTTGTAGCATGGGGTTGTCTTTGTGAGCTGCAGGCCGGCTAGGACTGGCTGAGGCCTGATCATGAGCCCTATGTTACACTGGCCTTCCCACATGCATGCTCCCAGTGGGCTGAAGCTGATGGTAGGAAACTTGACTTGCAGGCTGCTCCTCACTTCACCTCTCCACAACCTTACCCCTCCAGCCTGCCAAGGACCCCCTTCTGCCCTGGTCAGCTGGTACTCAGGCCTTAGAGAAAAATGCCCATGACCTCCCCTGCCAGAATGAAGGCCTCTACAGTGACCGAAGCAGAAGATGTTGTGGCTCATCTTTAAAACTGCCAGGGAGCACTCTGGAGATGCAGGTATAATTGCGGAAGGACGAGTGTAATTGTCTGAAGATGCTTATAATCCTCTCGCGGTAATGGGGGAAGCTTTGAAAGGAAGCTCTAATCCACTAATAACCTGGCAGCTCGACAGGCCTCTTCCCTCTGGATCTCTGCACAAAGAGAAGGGACTTTGGCCACTCCCTTTCCCGAGGAGCAGAAAGGCTGTGTGGGCTCTGACCCAAGACCACCCCGATTTCTACTCTCCGGCAAGATCCAGCTTCCTGCCTGTCTCCACCTCTGAGAAGCCTTCCCTGCCCCTTCTAGCCTCCTGACATCACTCCTCCCTTCTCTCTCTCAAGAAATGTTCAGGCCAGAACTGGGTGACTATCTGGCTGGACATTAAAAATAGGAATGAACCAGGCTGTGAGGCCAGCAGAACACAATCATAATTGCAGCTCCAACACTGGCTGTGTGACCTTAGGCAAAGCGACTTAAGTCTCTAAGCCTCAACTGCCTCATCTGTAAAATGGGAAGAATAATGCCTGCCTTGAAAGACTATAGTAAGATAGTGAGAATGCAATACCAACTAAATGACCCAGCACAGTGTGTGATGCCAACAGGGACCAATAAAGGTAGCCTCTTCTCTCCCTCCATTCATGGCCTCTTCCACTCCCAAGTATCCACAAACAACACTTTCCCCTTACAATTCCAGAACAGAGCGGTGACTATGAGTGAAAGCCCCATTTGCAGAAAACTGTGGTTGAATCATGACTTAGCAGCCTACTAGTCAAGAGTCTTGGACAAGTCATTTATATTCTTGGAGCCTCAGTCTTTTCATCTGTATAATGGAGATAATAACAGTATTCCCCTCAGGGGACTGTGATGAGATTAAATGAAACAATACATGCAAAGCACGGTAGGCTCAGCACATAAGGGCTTAACAAATAGTAGCTGTTGTACGGTTCAGCTGATGATAATTTTACTTAGTGTCAACATCCCTCACGAACCGATTTAGATTCTAAAATTTCCAAAACACTGCCACGCGCAAGATTGCTTCAATCTCACTACAGCTGTATGAGGTAGGTAGGGCTCATGTTTTTGCTTTCACAGATAAAGAAACGGAAGCTCACCAAGAGGAAGGGCCTTGCCCAGAATTTGGCTAGCAGGCAATCAGAGCCAGAATCTGCACTTAGGTGTTCTGACCTCCAGCCATGGTCCATGAGAAGGCAGGGAGCAAGTCCTGGAGACTTCCTGCTCTAGGAGATCTAGATTTTAGCTGACTCTCATGTGAGGTCCCACCTCCAAGCTCAAGGCTACTGGGCCCTCCCTGTGACCCCGCAAGCCTCCATCTACCTGTCCCAGATGAATTGAAGGCCCTCCCCTTGCTTCTGCCCAGCTCCCTGTGTGACCCAGGCCCCAAGGGTGACTTGGTGGCCAGAGGGGTGGTGCTGATGGTGGTGGTCAGAACCTGGAGAGAATTATTTCAGACAGAAGAGTGGGCAGGACGGGTGGTACCATGGCAGCCAGGGCGTCAGCAACGCCTGCAGAGAAATGGAGTGTTCCTATAGTTTCCTGACGCACGAGCCCTCCCAGGCCTGTGTTCCCTCCACACGCTGTGCCCCCCAGGAATCTGCTGGCAGTGGCTCCTGCCTAAGCTGAGCATGGCTGGGCTCACGTCCTCTCCATCTGGACCCACTTCAGTGTTTCCATGGGCCTGGCCCCTGGAGGTGATTCAGTGTGGGTTTCCCTGGCCCTGCCCTGCTCCGAGGACTCCAGACGCCTGCGGGAGGGCGATCATCATTCCTTCCTTCCATGCAGAGCGCACCAAGCTTTCCTGAGCTTTCCTGATGTGCTGTCCTTGGAGCCTCACTGTAGCCCAGGTGGCCCTACCTCTGTCACCTCTGGGTCACGTCGAGTCAATTCCGACTCATAGCAATACCATGTGACAGAGCAGAACTGTCCCATAGGATTTCCTAGGCTGTGATCTTTATAGGGAGACCTGGTGGCTCCATGGTTAAGAGCTTGGCTGCCAACCAAAAGACTGACAGTTCGAATCCACCAGCCATTCCTTGGAAACCTTACGGGGCAGTTCTACCCTGTCCTATAGGGTCACTATGAGTCAGAATTGATTCAATGGCAACAGGTTTGTTTTATTTTTTTATTTAATCTTTATGGGAGCAGATCGCCAGATCTTTCTCCCATGGAGCAGTTGGGTGGGTTCGAAACACCAACCTTTCAGTTAGCAGCCGAGTGCTTAACTGGTGCATCACCAGTGCTTCTTTTCATCACTTCTAACAGAAGGGAAAATGAAGCCCAGGTGAGGAATGTGGGCCCACCTCGGCCACTGACACCCCCAGTGACCTAAAGCAGTCTCTCCCTCACTCTGGGCCTATTTCTCCACCTGTGAAGTTAGGAGGTTGGATTAGAGGCTTCAGTCTCTCCCTCAGCAGCTCCAGGGGGGCAGTGAATACCTCTGTTTTGTTCAGGGCTGCCTCCCCAGCATCCAGCACATAGCTGGCGCTCAGTACGTCCACGAAGGAGTTCTGCCTCATCACTCCACAGTCACTTGTTAACACTGTGATTAATGGGCGGACGAGAGCAAGAGATGTACTTTTTTTGAACCAAGCCTGATAACGCGGCTTTCTCTCACTGCCTTCTCACATGTCTTCTTTAGCAGAGAAAAGAGTGGGGTTAGATGTGGCACAGCCGGACTGCACGTAACTCACAGCTTCCCCTCTCTCTCCACAGCTGTTAATCTGGGCAGTCCGTGGGGCAGTGTGTGGGATTGTTCTGTATCATGAGAAAATATGGTTAGGAGTCCCTGCATGAAGGACCAGAAGGGAAGCAAAGCAAGCTTACCTGGTTTCTGGGCCACCCTGGGGCCAGGGCTGGGGCTGGGGCTGGGGCTGGGGCTGGCTGCCATCATCTGCCGGGCCTTTGCTGCATCCCAGTCCTGGCTGACTCTGTCATCATGCTGGGACCCCCCTCGTGCCTCCCTGGAGCAGCTGGGTGGCTGGGTGCCCAGGGTTTTGGGCAGCTGCAGTGCCCCTTGCGTGGTTCTGCAGGCTGACTTGTCCCCACTCCTGCTGGCCACCCCATTCTCCTCCAGGTCCATGAGCCCCGCCTCTCCTTGAAGGCCCTCTTCACCACCACTCTCCTCAGTCTCCAGGGCCAGACATCTGTAGCTCCCATCCGGGATCCCAAAGGCACAGGAAGTGGGACCCCCTTCACTGAGCCCAACAGGTGGTGGTGGGAGGTGGTGGCCCAGCATGGTGCTGCCTGATCTCAGCAGTGCAGAGAAGCTGGCTGCTGGGCCTGCGCTAGGGCCACCTGTGTGACCACTGGTCTCCACTCCTTGGGGGCCTTCTTGGCTCGCCACAGCTTCACCTTCTTTGGCCAACACAGAGCCGGGATGAGCTCAGGCTGACAGGGAAGAAAAGTCCTTCCAGGGCTGGTGGGGTGGTAGAGCCCCAAGCCCTCCTTCTTAACCCGTCTCTGGTCTGTGAGGCCCCCTTCAAGATGATCTGTCTGCACGGGGAGGAAAGAAACAGCAGGTGAGACAGCTTGCTGGGTATTCCCAGCTGACTTTCTAAGAACTGTTCATCCTGGGGAGTTCCTGGGTGGTACGAACAGTTAACACACTTGGCTGCTAACCAAAAGCTTGGGGATTCGAGTCTACACAGAGAAGCCTCAGAAGAAAGGCCTGGCAATCTACTTCTGAAAAGTCAGCCATTGAAAATTCTGTGGAGCACAGTTCTACTCTGACACACATGGGGGTCACCATGAGTCGGAGTCAACTTGATGGCAACTGGTTTTTGTTTCATCTTGGGGTGGCCCTGAGAACTTGGGGTGCAGGTCTCACACATCCACAGCAAAGTGTTTACCAAGCTTCAGTCATTAGCCATCCCAGATTTTCGCCATATCCTTATGCCACCTGAGGCTTTATTTATTTAATACTTTTCCTCAAACTAACTTTAAATAACTAGCTTTTGTTACTTGAGACTTATCTTAAGCAATAATTGTAGGAAAACCACAAGTATGTTGTGCTAAGTCATTTTTTCCCCATACACATTAAATAAATAGCTAATTATTTAAAAATTCTTAACTGGGCAGCACCTAGAGTGAATTCTTTCATGTGCCACCAAAGGCACATACTCCACGTTGGGGAACACAGGGACAGTGGGGCAGAGGACACAAGACTGGTGGCTGGGCCCCCGGAGGAGGCTAAAGTAGCAAAAGGAGACTGTGCAGTGATGTGCTTCTGTGCCCAGGATTTGTGTTATAATCCCAGCTCTGCCACCAGTGTGGTGGTTAGCAAGTCATGTGACCTCTCTGAACCTCAGCTTCCTCCTCTGTAAAATGTGGATTATAATATCTCTGACTCTACCACCTGTCTGTCAGTTTCTCGTACTGTGGTGGTTCGCATGTTGCTATGATACCTGGAAGCTATGCCACCGGTATTTCAAATACCAGCAGAGTCACCCATTGTAGACGGGTTTCAGTAGGGCTTCCAGACTAGGAAGAAAAGCCTGGTGATCTACTCTTGAAAATCAGCCGATGAAAACACTATGGATCACAATAGAATATTGTCCGGTATAGTGCTGGAAGATGAGCTCCCTAGGTTGGAAGGCACTCAGAATACACAGTGGCCATAACAATGGACTTGAGCAGACCAATGATCATGAGGCTGGTGTAGGACCAGGCAACCTTTTGTTCTATTGTACATGGGGTCTCCATGAGGCAGAGCTGACTCAACAGCAACTAACAACTGACTTAGTGATGCACTGAGAATTAAGTGAGAAAATGCATGCAGAAGACTTAAGCATAGTTTCTGAGACATAACTCAATACATGTTGGCTATTTATTCAGCTTACAAAAATATCTTGAGCTCATATTATATTTCAAACACCATCAAAGATCCTGGGCAGACAGTAGGGGATAAAGAAGACATGGCACCCTGGCTCATGAAGCCTTAAAATCTGGTGGGGGGTGGAGGGAGCTGTGAATGATAACAACACCAACAATAATAGTATGATTGCTTATGAATGCTAACAGGGATGATCATTCAGAAGAGGTGATGGAGGTCTCCTATAAGGGGTGGCAAGAAGGGGCTGGATGAGAGAGATACAGCGCGGTAGAGTTGGCAGGGCTCGGAGGCAGATGGAGAGTGGGTGTGGAGGAAGAGGGAGGAGTCTAGGATGCGGTCCAGATTCCTAGCTCTGGTGACAGTGATTTCGTTAATAGAGATCAGGAATAAATGGGAAAAAGCAGGTGTTCAGGGGAGCAGAGAGATGAGTTAGATTTTGGATTTCTGGGGGAGATGGGCAGTGGGCAGTTTCACATGGGGGCCTGGAGAATAGGGAGAGTTCCAGGCTGGGGACAAAGGTTTGGAAATTACTTGTGGAGGCATAGGGTGGAGGTGGGTCAGATGTCCCAGGATGGGCAGAGAGAGTCTAAGACAGGGCCGATGGCCAATTACGTTTGAGAGAAAACCTTGCAATTAACAGATCTTGGTTAAAGACTCAATTCTGCCACTACTTAGTTCTGTGAACTGAGGCAAGTCACTCTGTTTCTCTGAATCTCATCTATCCTATTGCAAAATGGGGAGAGAGATTCTCGTCTCTCCCCTATGCTGGCTGCCCAGGGGCAGTGAGAATCCAGTGAATTGTGAAAGGCTGTGGACACTGGTGACCTCAGGGCCTGGGCTGACCTCAGCTGCTGCAGCACTCGGCCTGGAGGCCACACTCTGCTTCCAGGCAGGGGTCAGGCACCCCAGCCCCCAGCAGGCTGGGGCCTTGGCTCTGGTCTGAGCTGTGCCAAGAGACTCTGGTAGGAAGACAGCAGAGATAAATGCACTGTCAGGCCCCAAGGCAAACCTGAGCCAGCCAGGAGGAAGGCAAACACACATCAGGATCCGAAAGATAACTGGGCATCTGTTAGAACAGCCTCAGCAGCAGGGAAATCAGGAAAAAGAAGCCAACCTTCTGTCAGGAGGAAGAACAGGAGCTCACGATATTGAACATATATTAAACCCATTGCCATTGAGTTGACTCTGACTCACGGTGACCCCATGGGTGTCAGAGTAGAACTGAACTCCATAGGGTTTTCAATGGTTAAAATTGACTCAATGGCAACTGTTTTTTTTTCCCCCCTTGGTTTCATCTTTTGGAAGTAGATTACCGGGCCTTTCTTTTGTGAGTGGATCCAAATTGCCAACCTTTTGGTTAGTAGCTGAGAAACAGTTTGTGCCCCCTGGGGAATCTAAACAAGTTGCTGTTGAGTGGATTCTGACTCATGGTGACCCCACGTGTGTCAGAGTAGAACTGTGCTCCATAGGGTTTTCGATGGCTGATTTTTTGGAAGTAGATCTCCAGGGCTTTCTTCCAAGATTTCTCTGGGAGAATTTGAACTTCTACCTTTCAGTTAGTAGCTGTCATGGATTGAATTATGTCCCCCCAAAAATGTGTGTATCAATTTGGCTGGGCCATAATTCCCAGTATTGTGTGGTTGTCCTCCATTTTGTGATTGTAATTTTATGTTAAAGAGGATTAGGGTGGGATTGTATAACATCCTTACTAAGGTCACCTCCCTGATCCAATGTAAAGGGAGTTTCCCTAGCGTGTGGCCTGCACCACCTTTTATCTTACAAGAGATAAAAGGAAAGAGAAGCAAGCAGAGAATGCGGGACCTCATAACATCAAGAAAGCAGTGCCAGGAGCAGAGCGCGTCCTTTGGACCCAGGGTTCCTGCACAGAGAAGCTCCTGGTCCAGGGGAAGATTGATGAGAAGGACCTTCCTACAGAGCCAACAGAGAGAAAGCCTTCCCCTGGAGCTGATGCCCTGAATTTGGGCTTCTAGCCTACTAGACCGTGAGAACATAAATTTCTCTTTGTTAAAGCCATCCACTTGTGGTATTTCTGTTATAGCAGCACTAGATGGCGAAGACAGTAGCCAAAAGCTTAATCATTTGCATCACTCAGGGACTCCCGAACACATATTACGAGCTGGATATTATTATTATCCCATTTCAAAGATGAGCAAACTGAGGCTCAGATAGGTGAAGTGACTTCTTGCCTAAGTCACATAGCTAGTAAACAGCAAGGCTGGGGTTTGAACCTAGCTTTAACACTGTGACCCTAATGGTGGACACAGAGGAACAGAGGAGATGGCTCTAGGCCCTCAACCCCCTCCAGGGCCTTCCTCACTCACCAGCTGCTGCCTGACATTCCTACCATTAGAATTTCAAAGAGTCTTAGACTCGAGAAGGGCCTTAGAATTCCGCAGAGAGCTGTCTGGCCCTAACTGGCTGTGTGGCTTTGGGCAGGTGCCTTCTGCCTTCTGGAGTCAGTTTCCCCAAGGACACACTGGGAGGTTGAACCAGATGGTGTGGGAGGGTCCATCCACCTCTGTCATTGCAGACACTAAGCACTTGGAACCACCTCCTACCCTGCACCCCACACCCACTACGGAGCCAGATGGCAGAAGGCAGAAGGAGTGGGCGTGGGGAGGGGGCAGGGCTCCCTCTGACTCCCTGCAGGGGCCTCGTCTCCCTCTATTCCTGCTTCTGTTTTGCTGTATTTGATGGTGGCCACGGTTTCCAGGAAAGAAGAGAGAGGCGGAAAAGTTAACTTTCCGCCACCCACACAAATATTTTTGGCCGGCGTTGTCTTCAGGCTGCCAAGCCAGGAGGGAGGGGTTGGCAGGAGTGCTCCAATTCAAGGATCCCTCCCAAGGAGCCACTGAGTCCCAGCCCAACAAGGGGGCTGGGGCAGACAGTGTGCAAGTTGGCTTCGAACACCCCCATCCAGGAGCCATGGGGATGGGGACCTGTAACAGTAATGGCTGCTGCCAATTGCTAAGCATCTGCTATATGTTGGTCCAAGCCCTTGACTAACTCTTCTGTGAGGTAGGCGTGAGAAAGCAGTTTACAGATGAGAAAACTGAGGCATGGAGAGGGAAAGTACCATGTCCAGAGTGACATGGTGCAGAGCAGAATGCGAGTCAAGGCTGCTGGGGCCTGGGCTCTACCCTGCTCTCAGCTGCCACAGACTCCAACTCCAGGAACCACTGAGGCCCTAAGGTTGCTGCACTCAGACCACAGCGACCTGTCTGTGTGGGCAGATCTCTCTGGCAGCCAGGAGACAGCCTCCTCCAGCCTCAGCAGAAATGGTCTGAGGCCCCTAACGAGCTCTCATTCCATCTCCCGCAAGTCCTTATTCCTTATCTGGCCACAAGGCTCCAGGGCACCCAAATTTCAGCAAGGCAGGGCCA